CCACAGACGGTTCTGCTTCCTTCCGGAAAACAGTGCTTGGATGAACAAACACCTGCAGAAGGGTTTGCATGTTTTTATGGGTAGTCCACAATGCCGTTCCCCAGGAAACCTGGAAAAAAACTAGAGTTCCCAAATTCTAGGCTCAGCAGTGGTTTCTAAGCACGAGCTGTGTTACGAAACATGAGTGAGACACACAAAAGAAGCAGTCTCTTGGGAGAAAGCTCTTTGGTGGCTCCCCACCGCTCCCTGCCGTGGCTCTGACTCCAACCCCTTGGGCACCAGTTAAAACTGGAGATTTCCAGGCCCAACCCCCAGAATGTCTGATCCTGGTGGGGCCCAGGATGCCTGCGTCGCAGGCAGCTCCTCCCAGGTGGCCGATTCGGGAGGCCCGACGGCGCTTGAGAAACTGCCTTTACAAGCCAGCTTCAGTCATATGCCATGCCCTTGGCATCTCTCCCCTCGGTCCCTGCTCTGCTCTGGCACCCTCTCGCATCTGCTCCGTGCCACATCCCTCTCTCCCAGTACAAGTGCCTGCAGCACCTCACTCTTTTTCCTCTGCAAGAATATACTCCTTATCCTTGTCTAGCAATTCTCCATGTCCTTCAGAACTCTGGCTCAGGAGTCACCACCTCCAGGAAGTCTTCCTTCAGGAAGACCCCCTCCCGCTGCCACTGCTCTGGCTCGGCTGACAGCCCTTCTCATGCACTTCTCCTACACCTGGCTCCCCTACTCCTGCCTGCCTGCATCTGACTGCCTTTCTACCCCTTGGACCTCAAAACAGGCAGTCCAGCTGTAAACCTCACATACACGCGTGAGCACTTATGCAGAGCCGTCCAGGCCCAGCCCAAACACAGATTCTGAATTTCCGAAATCTCCTAGGAGTGCACCCCGAAGTCCCAGAAACGGCTCTGACACAAGGCCCAGGTGTGAGCCATTCTTTTCACTGAAAGCCTCCCCATACCAGGCCCCTATCTGAGAGCTGTGCCTGGTTCCCAAGAGCCTTCCCAGGACCACCCGGCCTGGAAATGATGGGGAGCGTCGAAGGTCAACTGCAAAGAGGGTAACACTTGGATCGAACGGAACGCTGTACTGATATATTCAACAGGCAGGTATCCTGTGCACAATTTCTTGTAAGGTCGTAGTAAGTCTTCAAAAAAGGATGTGAAAACCACTTCAGCAGGCTCTTGCAATCAGATATGCAAATGGTCTGTGGTTAGCTTTTGTGGCAAATTTTATCTTCTGTTTATTTACATACTGACAGTGAGTGCCTTTATGGCTTTTTAAAATTGCTTTGATGCTGCATTGATTCTAGCGGGTTCGTTCTGTGTTGCACCCTGGAGCAGCTTCTGCAGGGTGCAGGAGTTTATTTTTATTTTTAAATTAACATATAGTAAAATGGACTTTTTTTTTGGCATGCCGGTCTAGGAGTTTTCACACGTGTTTTGGGTGATTGCCGCCACGGGATCTGGGAAGAGCCCCATCATCCCAAAACGTACCCGTGAGTTGCCCCTTCGTAGCCACCCCTCCCCTAACGCCCAACAAGTAGACTTGTGCTCAGTCACTACGTTCGCTGTCTTTTCAAGAATCTCCTAAGTGAAATTAGGCAGTACGCGGCTTTTTTTCTTTTTATTGTGATGAAACACACATAGCAAAATTCACCATCTTAATCGTTTTCGAATGTACAGTCCGGTGGTACTAAATACATTCGGCGTTGGGCGGCCAGCCCTGCCATCCGTCCCCATAGCTCTTTCCCTCCTTTTGTAAATCTGAAACCCTGTCCCCACTAAACACAAACTCCCCTCACTTCCCCAGCCCCCGATGCCCACCACCACCACACTCCAGGTCTTGTAAGGCATAACCTTTTAAGACCGGTTCCCCTCACTCCGCATGATGCCTTGGAGACCAACCCCCATCCCCCCCCCCCCAAGTCACTGTGGGCGACAAGTCTGTCCCTTCATCGCAGAGAGCCTCCCGTCAGATGGATGCAGAAGCCTGTCCACTCATCCACTGAAGGGCATCTGGGCTATTTCCAGTTTTCGGCAATTATGAAGAGAGCTGGCATAAACGTTCACGGGCAGGTTTTGGTGTGAACATAACATTTCACGTCTCTGGAGTAGGGATGAGACTGCGGCTTAATTTTGTAAGAAGCTGCCAATCTGTTTCCCAAAGCGGTGTACCATCTGCATTCCCACCGGTAACGGGCGAGAGTTCCAGGTGTTCCACACCCTCGCCCCGCTGTGGTCCTATTAAATTCAGACATTCTGAGAAGTGTGCAGCCGATGCCATCGCGCCTTTGATTTGCATTTCCCTAACGGCTAATGACGGTGTTGAGCATTTTTTCATGTGCTTATTTGCCATCGACACAACTCTGGAGAAGAGTCTGTTGTAAGTCTTTTTTTGTTTGTTTTTTAGAGAGAGCAAGTGCTAGTGGGGGAGGGGCAGAGAGAGAGGGAGAGAGAATCTCGAGCAGGCTCCGTGCCCAGCGCAGGGCCTGCCGTGGGGCTCAGTCTACCATGAGATCATGACTTGAGCCAAAATCAAGGGAGATGCTGAACCGAATGAGCCACCCAGGTGCCCATTATGGCAATTTTTTAATTGGGTTATTTGTCGAGTTCTGAGAGCCCTTTGTGCTTTTTGGACCAAGTCCTTTGTTGGACATGTGATTTGCAAGTATGTCTTCCCAGTCTGTAGTTTGTCATTTCATTCACTTCCTGGTACCTTTTGCGAAGCAAGAGTTTTTAGTTTTTATGAAGTCCATTTTATCAGCTTTCTCTCTCATGGCGCACACTTCTGGTGTCTTAAGAATTCTGCCCAGCCCCTGAGACCTTCTAGGTTTTTCTTCAGATAGTTTCACGGTTTTACATTTAGACTTGTGATCCATTTGGGGTTAATCTCTGCATAAACCAGGAAGTTTCAGTCTAAGTTGTTTTGGGTTTTGTTTTGCACATACAGATAGCCAATTGTTGTAACACTGTTTCTTGAAAAGACTGCCCTGTCTCCATTAAATTACCTCTGCACTTCTTTCAAAAATTAACTGGCCATACTCGTGTGCGTCTGTCTCTGGACTCTAGTCCGTTCCATGGATCCAGGTGTCTATCCTTCCACCGATTCCATGCTCTGGATTACCATACCTTTATAAATCTAGAGTTTAAATCTGTATATAAGTCTATATTATAAAATCTACAACTTCTTTATAATCTATATTATAAAATCGGGTAGTGGGTTGCCTCTAATTTTATTCTTTTTCAAAACTGTTTCAGCGATCCTAGCTCCTTTGCCTCTCACGTAAATTTTAGAATTGGCCTGTCTATATCTACACGGAAGACTTGCTGGGATTTTGACTGGAATTGTTTATAGATCAATTTAGGACATCTGACATCCTCACCGTGCTGAATTTTGCAATCCACCAACATGGTATGTCTTTAAATTTACTTACGTCTTCTTTATAGGACATCTACACAATTTCACCACAAGGGCTGAAAAGCCACTTGAAAACAAAAAATGTGACCAAAACCTAGCCATAGAAAAGAAACAGCAAGAGCTGAAATTCTGTTCAGCTCCTGACGACACCAGGCACTCAGCACTTTTAGGTCAAGTGACATACGGGAAGAAAAATTGTCACAGTAACACAAATTGTTTCTAGCTGCAATCTCGACCTGTCTCATTTGAGAGTGATACAAATGTCTCTCTTAATATAAATGTGAAATTAATTAGGTCTTTGGACTCCACATATGACATTATGCAATTATAGTGTATTCAATTAATACCACCATGTATTCAATAAACATCTACGGGGCATTTATACAAGGCTGACATCATTCTAGGCACTGGGGCCACAGTGCAGGACATAATTGAGGGTCCTTGTTTGAAGCCTCCTTTCTAGGGAAAGAGAAACTTCCAACATGTTAATATAATAAATATTGTATTACAATACAATATTACAATACGATACATATTACAAAATATTTC